GGGCGGCCAATAAATTTAAATAAATAATAATTTGATTGCCTTACTCATTTCCACACCTAGCACACTGATATTGTGCCATGAAATGTCTTCCCGATCCAGAGGTCTTGCAGTCATCAGAGCACCTGTTATAATGTCCACATAGAAGAAGCGTCCAGGATCACTGCTTCGATCGATGGAGAATCTGCGGAAGTTCACATATTTAAAAAAATGTTGTAGTTAGAACCTGCCATTACAAATTGAGGTGTAATTTAGTTTCGTCACTATTTTTGTTTTTTTTTTAGCTCTGTGGACTTAACAGTTATTCAGTTCGGATGCTAATTTATATGTGTAGTTTACTAGCTCAATCACTTAATCCCTGAAAAATCTTTTAACATTGATTTGTGCAGTAGGAGGAGAAGAAATAATGCTATGCTAGTTCACTTTAGATCCCACTTTCTCATCTCCTTTAGCAAAGAAAGACTTATGCGTGCTTTGCTGGTTGCATGAATACAAGGAAGAGTGTTTAATTCTAGATATTAAATTTTAAAAAGGCTAAAAAATTAACATCCATATTAAATTAAGAAATATACAATTATTGAATATTTCTTAGACTCTCTTGGAGAAAGAATAAGAGGCATTGCTCTCTTTTAAAGAATTTAGGACAATGGAAAACAATTAAGATGAGCAGAATTAGCAGTTGGTAACATTAGGAAGAATTAGATATCTTTCTTTGTTTGGTAATTGACCTTTGCAGACATGAAAAGCAGTTTATATTCATACTGTGTCTAGGGCGAAAAAAACCCCCCATTATTTAGTACAGTATGCAAACATGCTAATGAAATAACCACACCAATCACAGTGGGACTTGCTTCTAAATATTCATGAATTTACTCAGGGCAGTAAAAGTGAAATCTTATTCATGCAATACAATTCCACAATGTTTCTACAAATTAAGCACCGATAGTTTTAGTATGACATAGTTTCAATTAAGAGTCTTGCAGTTTAAAAATCATAAGAGTTGTGCACAAATAGCCATCAGTGCATCTGCTCATACCAAAACCAAATTCTACAGCGTACTCAAAAAGTGGTCATTTAGGTTTTCATAAAAAATGTAAAACATGAAAGTCCATTCCATAACAAAACTCCTCTGAGCATATTTCAGAATCAAGACGCGTAAAATAGCTGTTGCATAATCCTGAAAAGTTCTGAATGCATAGTCATTACAGAATCAAGGAATCGGAATTTTTTAAACTCCCAGATGCAAGAAATTCCATATTATGCCATTTCAATCCCAAGGGAAACCATCTGCCATCAGCTTCTAAATCCATTTTGATGTCCTGGTTAAGGCACCATGCTAGAAACCAGGAGACTGTGAATGCTAGTTCTTCCTTAGGCATGAAACCCAGCTGGGAGACTTTGAGTTAGTCAGGCCTAAGTCACCTCATAGGGTTGTTGTTATAGAAAAAATAGGAAGAGGGAGGAGGAGTATTAGGTATTAGTTCAGTTACCATGTTTCCCCCAAAATAATAGCAATAGCAATAGCAGTTAGACTTACGTACCGCTTCATAGGGCTTTCAGCCCTCTCTAAGCGATTTTTACAGAGTCCGCATATCGCCCCCACA